CGGAGGGGGTGGGGGAGGAGGGCTCACCTGTGCAGAAAGGCCCCATAGGTCTCCTTGACAATGTTCTTCTGAGCCTGGCGAATCTTGTCCCTCTGCTCTGTGTCTGGAATAGCCCAGGCCTTCTGGATCTTGCATAGTTCTTCAAGGCCATCATTGAAGCCCTGGCCACCAGAAAGGTGGAAAGAGAGAGGATCCAGACACAAATGCTTTGCGTCTGTGTCACCACAACAGCAGCAGCAAGCAGTGGAGGGGAGAGGACCCCAACTCACCTTAAAACGCTCCTTGATCATCTGTCGCTCCTTGTCCCGGAGCTGGGGGAGCCAGGAGAGATGACAGAAAAAGCTTTCCTCAGAGCAGAGCCACCCTGCCCCCGCTCCTTCCCCATACACCTCGGACGGGGGCCGAGTCCTCTTTCCCGCTGCACTGATGGCCATGTGCATCCTTTGCTCTCTGATCCCCAAGAGATGTTTGTCCATTTTTTCCCCAGAGATGCAACAAAAAGTATCCCATCTGCTAGACACCCCCTCCCAACCCACGCCTTCAGCCCACCTTGACTCCCGGTTGGAACACAGGTAGATTCTTCTCTGCGATGTAATCGGTCACCTTTAACCAACTGCCAGACACGGGGAGAAACGTGAGGGCAGAGGAGAGACAGCCTCGCTTGGGGGGTGGGGGGAGTGGTAGGAATCGATCTGGGTCACAACTAAGCAAAACAACTGAGATTTTTTCCTTGGAAACAGAAAATGTTTAAGCTGCTCACTTTGAAAAAGAAGGACAGGAAACACGAGGTGGTCAATAAACTGAACAAATACTATCAAGTACACCTCAGGTCGGTATCAGGACAAATTAAGATGGAGAAGCAGATGAGAAAGAAAGGCGGGGGCAGAGCACAGAGAAACGGGAAGGAAGAGGGAAACACACTGAAAGGGAAGAAATGAGGACTGGAAGAGCAGAGAGGGCACTGGAGAGGGGCTCAGCCAAGTTCAAGAGCTCCTGCAACCCTGCTCTTCTCTTGGGCTGAACATTTCGCATGTCTTCCGCAGTGCTTCTGTTATTCTTAGCCTGCCGACACGTGGTAGGCCACCCTCCGAACAGGCTAGCCATAGTGGCCCCTAGGGGGCAGGAGTGCTAGGGGCAGGGGCTTCTCTCTCCACCCCATGAATTTGATTAAAAAACAAGTGAAGGATTGGGGTCCGCAGGGCAGCCGTTCCCCAAGGGTGACCCCTCTTCAGCTGGGCCCAGCATCCAGAGGGTCTGAGAAGGCAGAGTGAGTGGTGGGCACGGGTGGGAGACAGGGCTGAGACAGTGGGGCCCACGCAGGAGCAGGGGCGGGCCAGCCTCTCACCTGCGTTGGTAGGTCTGGATCTGTTGCTCAATGTGCTCCCGGTAGGAGCGCTCGGCAGTCTTCTGGGTCACAGCCACCAGCTGGATCAGCTCAGACCTGGGTGGGGTAGGGGAGAAAGGACAGAGTTGGCTCCCAGGCCCGGAGCTGCGGGCCTCAGCAGCAACACCAGGAGGACCCTCCCATCCCACCCCCGATCTTCAGGAGCTCTACGGTGGCAGCACTCATCCCTCCCTAGGTCCTGGGACTGAAGAACACAGCACCCTCCTCCCCGCCTGTGTGCAGTGCGGAGGGCACAACCAGCCCTGGGAGGGCAGAGCCTGGCACGGCTGCACAGGCCACTTACTTCTCCAGCGACTTGAGGATGTAGTTGTAGTTGTTGTGCAGGAAGATGGCGCTCAGGGCTGGGTCCTCATACACCTTGGACTTGCTCAGCAAGTTCAACTGCAGGTTGCCCAGGACTTTACCTGCACAGGGAAAGATGGGGCCATGCCCACCATGGCAGTCTGACCAAAATGACCCAATCCCGGGACCCACTAACTGACTCCTATCCATTACTCCCTGATCCTCCTGACTCCACACTCCTGGGGCCTTAGGAGCCCTGGCCCAATTCCCTGTGGTCCCTGAACTAGGGGGTAGATTGCAATTCCAAAGGTCAGGTGGGGCTCAGGAGAGGGACCCAGGAACAGCGGGAGAAGGAAGAGAAAAGGCAGGGGACGCAGGTTCTGCTCAAGAGAACACTCACAGATATAGGTGCTTAGCAGTCGCTTGCTGAACTCGGAGTTGTAGCTGGTGGCTGAAGAACTGGTCTCTGTGAGAGAAGTCCTATCATTGCAACGGCGGTGGCAGCAGCCAAGACCTTGAAGGTCCTTCCCCCAGCCCAAGGAGCAGCCTGAGGAAGTGCTGGGAGAGGCTCTGGGCTTCCTCAGGCAGAGCTGGGTGCCTGCTGAGCTGCAGGGCTGCCCCCTGTCGCAGCAAGCACTGATCTTGGGGTGGCATGGTTAAGAAGCTGCCTGTGTCAGCAGGAAGGCTGCAGGACAGGAGTGGAACACCAGCGCCCTTCCCCAGTCCCCGACCCATGCTAGGTGGTATCTATAAAGCCCACTTTTCCTATCTGCCAACAGCAAAGTCTTAGAATGGGCTTCCACAGCCTCTCCACCTTCTCCACATACTTCCCACACCCCCTCTACCAAGCCCTTCTGAACAGAGGGGACCCGCTGCTGCACAGAGTGAGAGGCCTAGCGGGGAGAGGTAGGCATGGGGGAGGGGCCAGGCCAGACTTGAGGGTGTGTTCAGGGTGCTGGACCCAGCAGGGTGCTGCCTGGACAAGCTCAGAGATGGGAAGTGGCCAGAAAGGGAGCTGAGAGAGTAAAGAGAGCCCCCTGGAAGAACTCATGTCCCTGCTGATCCCTGATCCCCAACAGGTCCTGAGAGTCAGTCCCCAGGGAACCATGTCCCCCAAGGGGCTGCGGAGGGGGAAGGTGGGGCTGCAGGGCCGCACTGCTTACCTCGGGGGTCTAAAGGAATATTGTATGTGTCCCCAAGAACTACGGAGTGAAAGGCAGTGCACACAGAGGGAACGGAGGCAGAGAAAAAGGAGGGAGAAAGATGCAAAGTACAAAAACGGGTTAGAAACAGATGTGTCAGCCCAAGTCAAGCAGACCCCTCCCCAGGACAGCCAGAGCAGACAGCAGGACACACCCAGTGGAACCCGCAGAAGACCAGAAAACACACTGGAAGGTGGAGATCTGGAGAGCCACAGGCCAGGGGTTGCCCTTTGCTCCTGCCCCCAAAATGAGGGATGAAGGGAGGGCCTTGGGGACCTCAGTGCTTGGAATGACCCAAAAATGTGTTCTCCTTACATGTCAACCTCCCAAGCTCCAGTCCCAGGGTAGTGGCCAGCAGGAGGACACCCAGCTGGCCCAGAGATGCCACCCACTGAAAGGTCAGCTGTGTGAGACACATCAGGAGAACAGGGAGACACGAGAGGCAGTGGAGAAATGTGGGAGGAGCAGGGGCAGAAAGGGCACCTTCAAACCAGCCAGTGCCACTCACAGAGCGAGGATGGTTGGAGGAGCCGAAGGAGGGGCCGGGGTCCAGTCACAAAAGGTGCAGGCAGACCTTGCTCTCCCGATGCTCAGCCCAGATGGCCCCACAGCCTCAGGGCCCCTCCCCAGGCCACATCTCAATCTCACCCTACAGACTGGAGGAGGTCTCCTCACTGAGCCCTTTCCCTCACCCAGAGGTGGTCAGGGCTTCCTGGGAGGCCTACCCCACGTCTTCAGGGAGGAGTGGGGCATGGGCAGGCAGCCCAGCTCAAATGTGCCAAGTACCTTGGGAGGCCAGCATGGCACCTGCTGTTTCCTGGAAGTCCAGAAGCTGCTGCAGGAAGAGGATGGCCTGGGTGGGGAGGAAACAGGTCCAGGAAGGCCAAGTGGCAGGACCCAGTCTGATTGCCTCCCACAATGCACCTGTCTAACCAACTGGGGCAAGCCCAGGGCCAGCAATCTGCCCAGTGAAAAGGTGGCTGGAAACTGTGTATTTCTTCCTCTGGGCTCTGGCCTGCTGAGGAGGCTCTGTCTGCTGGAAACACTAAGCACTCCCCATCCATCCTGCCATCAGTGACTGTCCATGAAGGCACGAGTGGCTCTGGACCCTTTGCAGGTACTGATGCCTGGTGCCTGGCCTGGAGCCCCTTGTGTCTCCTCCCTTCCCTCCCCAGGTGTCCCTGGCAGCACCTACGTTGCTTGTGAGCTCGTGCACGGTGCCGTCCTTGGGCATGTTGTACTCCTTGTCCGGGTCATTCTGTGGAAAAAACAGCCTCTGTTTCCCTGCAATGGCTCCCACAGTGGCCCTGGGCCCACCCCACGCCCAGTTGGCCTGCTCATGGCGCCACCTCCTGACAGGTGGTGTTAGGATGCCCCTCTGGCACAAAGGCTGAGCAAGACAGGACCAAAGGTGAGACAAGAGCTTTGGGCCTCAGAGGGCTCTGCAGCCCCGGGGGAGGAAAGGGAGGCACGTGGGTATCGCAGGAGACCAGCAGCGCAGTCAGCTTCCCAACACAGCAGACCCACCCCTCCTGGAGGCCTGTGCTCTGAAGGGGTTCCCAGAGCCTAGTGACAGATGGCTCTCGTCTTCGGCCCCGCGGCTAAGCCTGGTAGGCATGGAGGGAAGGAAGACAGGCACCTTGATGTTGTCCGCAAAGTCCTCCAGCGCTTTGGCTCCAATGGTCTCCATGGAGGTGATGAGGCCAGGCAGCTTGTTCTTGGTGCTGGCGGCCGTGCCCTGAGGCAGGAAGCACACGCTGCGCCCCAGCCAGAGCCCAGAGTGCAGGGCCCAGGACCCAGAGCCCAGCCTCGGCCCTCCCCAGCAGGCTATGCCTGCAGCCCAGCTGCTCCCAGCTGCTCCACTGCCCCTCGCCCCAGGGGACTGACTCTCTGGCACATGGGAGCCTCCAGCTCTCCTTCAATCCCCCTGTGAGCATCTTGACCTGCCCAGGGCCTGCAGAAGCTGCCTCTGTTCACCCTCAGAGCAGAGGTGTGGGGGTGTAGAAATGGGTTCTCCCAGGGAGCAGGGAGGGAGGCCACGCTGGGCGACAGGGTTCCTCCTGCCTGTGTCCCCAAGGGCCTCCCTGTCCACACACCTGGAGCACCTGGTCAAACTCAGGTTTGGTCTGTTTGAGGTGCCGCAGGATGGGGAAGACGGTGAGCACCGTGGAGAAGTCGTGGCGGATGATGGCCTTGCGGGCAGCAGCCACGATGTTCTCTCCCTCCAGCATCAGCCCATCCAGCGCATCCTGAGAGGGGCAGGGGATGCCTCAGGGAGGGGCAGAATGCTGAGAGCTGGTTCCCAGGGATGGTGTGTGCACTTGGTGCACTGTGGGAGGAAGCCAGCGTGCAGTGGCAGGGAGAGGGGTGATGGGGAGGTACTGAGGGGCCACCCGGGACAGGTCCCCAGGGCATGAGGTGGAGGTGGTAGCTGGAGTTAAGGGCTTCAGACAATAGGCCTGCCCCACACTCAAGATTCTGCAGTGACAGCTCTTGCTGGGGCTGGCTGGGCAGAGCCCCTGGGGTGGGGCAGGGCAGGACCTGGATCAAGGAGTCAAAGGTTTTTTTCTGATGGTGCTCAGGGATGATGTCGGTCAGCAGCTGGTACTCGCTCTGGGCCAGCTTGACAAAGGCACTGACGCAGTGAATGTAGGCGTCGGTCTCCACGTCCAGCATGTCATCTCTCCCTGGGGGGACAGCAGTGCCCTTGAGCTTCTGGTCCGGGGCAGCCACTCTCCCTGTGGGGGCGTGGGTCTCCCCAGCTCCCGGCCTGTCACCCAGACCGGCAGCAGATGGGGAAGAAGCAGACTGTTCGGGCAGAAAGCTGCAAAGACTCCTGCAGGCTCAACCGGATTTGAGGGGCAAAACAGGAGCTGAGTCTAGCCTTTGTCCTGGTTTCATTTTCAACTCTGCATGGACAGTATTTATGTCCCCAGAGCATCAGATACTAGAGGTGTCAGAGAGAGGGATAAAAGGATGAGGAGGGAAGATTCCCTAAATCTACTTCCTGGATAAGGCATGTCTGACCCCAGGACTGAGGATTCTGAATTGTACCTGAAAGAGGGCAGCCCAGGATGGGCAGGTAGCCATGCCCACCTCAAGGAGGTGAGTTGTGGTCACCCGAGAAAATGCTGGGCCTATGAAGGCAATTAACAGCCCAGGCAGGCCTTCTGGAACGTGTAAGAGGGCGATGGGCTACAGCCTGAGGCTAGCTGGCATGGGATCAACATTTGAGAAGAGGTAAGTGTGCCCCAGAAAGGAAGGGCTCCTTGGCTGTCAGCTGCCCTAGGAGGAGACTGGATCCCACTACTGGAGGTTGGGGCAGAGGCGCCTGCACGTAAAACCAGTAGCACAATAGCCTGGTCCTATGTGCCAAGGGATGGGCTCCAAGAGGCAGAGCCTTGGACTCGCTGCAGGCGTCAGATGTCAGGGCTCCCTGCCCTCGAGGGAGCCGCCTTCCCTCTCTGCCTGCCTTCCGGGCAGCAGCAACTTCTTTCTCCCCTTGGGCCAGGCCCTGAGAGCCAGGCATGCACTCCCATCTGGAGAGAGGCAAGGAGACCTAGTGCCCAAAAGAGAGAGACTGGAGAGAGAGAGGCGAGTAGACCTGGCCCATCCTCAGAGCAGAGTGAGCCCAGCTGGGCCAGGCAGGAGCAGGCCATCCAGGACCGCTGCAAAAACAGTGTCAGCGGCTGCCCTTGGGCTGGGCTGCGGTACTCACCAGCCAGCGGCCCGTGCTTGTCGTTCAGGGCCTCGGACAGGTGCTTAACTCGGAAATCATGCTCGTGACCTAGCAAGACGTCGGCCGCACAAACACAAGCAGCGTTTATCCAGGGGCCAGGTGGGCTGCCCCTCAGGTTCGGGGAAGAAGCCCTTGATTTCCAGGATGGGGATATGAGGTAGGGTGTAGGGAAGGGGGCATTGGGGAGGGCTCTGAGCTCCTCCTCTGCCTTAAACCACCTTGGGAACAGCCGTTTCAAGCCTGACTTGCAGTGAATTCCCAGGAGAGTCCTTGGCTACCTGTTTCCCCAGGCATGGAGGTCGAGAGAAAGCCGGGAAAGCCCGTGAGGGTCTGGGGAGATTTTGTAGTGGGGGGTCTGATGCTCAGCCCCAGGGGTTTCCCCACCTCACCGTATTTGGGGAGAGACCCAGTTAGAGAAATGTCACTGCCGAGTGAATGGAGACAGCCATTTCTTGTTACCCAGGGTGATTCATTTGAAGGAGGGCCAGGCCCACCAGGGTAGCTGACCTGACTGTCCCTTCTCAGACAAGAGGTAAGTAAGGAGGGACATAGCCTGCAGGTGGCCCAGCCCCTTGCCACACATACTCCCCTTTCTAAAGAGAGGGGTGGCCAGGAGGCCTCAGCCAAGTTGATCCTGCCACTGCTGGTCTGAGCGTGAAAGGGCTGCCCCAAGACAAAGAACTTTCTCTGAATTCACACGGGAGACGAGGACAGAGACAGGGAGGGGAGAAGGGGAAGCCTCAGGGAGGGCAGAGCTGCCATCAGCCAGACAAGACCAGGCCGAGGGCCATGACACACGTCCCTGCACCTGCTGAAGCCTGAGTGGCATCAGGGACTTGCCACTCCCACCCTGCTCCCCTCTCAGAGTTTCCCAAGGCCCTCCTGGGGGAGGCTCTGCCCTGCCAAGTGAGTGACACACAGTGGAGGAAGAGGGACGGGAGGGGAACACGGGGTGATTACCTTCCAGAGGAATGAGGTTAGAGCCCCCCTTTTTCCCATCTAGACCATGCTGGGAATACTGTTTCAGAAGGTTCTGAGCCTTACGGATCGTCCCTGTCACCAGAGCCACACAGAGAGGAGATAAGAAGACCTAGGAAACGAGTGAGAGAAAACAGCAGCGGCCCTCCACCTGCCCCCAGACCCCCACCCAGCCTCAACAGTGAGCATGCGCCTCTACCATCTCTCCTGGCAGGCCCTTCCCCAGGACCACCAAAGACCATGAGGACAGGGACGCAGGAAAGCAAACATCTTGTACTCCAAATGGAGCTCTTGATTCTGCTACTGACCCTCATTGTTCTACATCTGGGCTCGCTTCAGGAAGTGTAGAGGGTGATGGAGGTAAGATGGACAGATATCCACCAGGAGAAGTCAAAAATAAAAACACTACTGCGTGGCACTTTAATCAGAATAGGTGGAGGAGCTAGTGACGAAGCTCACACACCCAGAGGGCATGGCCAGGCTGGCACCGAAGCCAGCAGGCCCACAGCCCAGCCCCAAACTCCAGGCTGAGTTCTGTAAGCATGCTCAATGTTGGGACTTAAGTCAACAAGCAGCAGAATGCGGGAGTTGGTGAAATGGGACTGAGCTTCCTGGGAGAGCTGTGCCAAGATGGGAGGCTTGGAGTCCCAGAGGCAGCCTGGCCTCACACACCAAAGGAGTTCCCCAAACCACCAAAGCGAATGGAAAAAATCCGAAGGCCGAGAAGGGGTTAACAGAAGCCGCCACATAGAGAGCCTGGAGGGAGAGCAGGAGAGGGCATATGTTCTTGGCATGGGGGGGGAAAAATCACAGTTAGTATCACAAGTGAAAATAATAAAAACAAGACTGTTGCACGCATAGCCTACCACATAGAGAGCCTGGAGGGAGAGCAGGAGAGGGCATATGTTCTTGGCATGGGGGGGAAAAAATCACAGTTAGTATCACAAGTGAAAATAATAAAAACAAGACTGTTGCACGCATAGCCTCCTGGGTGAGCCTCCTCTGCGGGGATGAGATATTTCAGGGCAGAAAATGTGGGCAAACAAAATAGCACTTGAAGTGGACAAGCACAGCTATCTTGTTAACAGAATGTTCTGGGGGGAGGAGGCACTCATGAGATTAACTCTGGTCCCTCTTCCTGAAGCCTCCCCTCCCCCCTCCCCACCCCCCCATGTATCTGAACATAGCCAGGCTGCTATGTCCTGGCAGCTCCCCAGAAGGCTGGGGAAGGAAGGGGCGGGGTCTGGGCAGCTCATCTCACTCTGTCTGCACCACACCACGATTAGCTACTAATAGCTGCGTTCCACGGGCCCAGCTCACATCTGTCTCCCTGTGTTCTCCCCCTTCAGTGAGCGGGCCTTGCTCATGAGCAAATCAGATTCCTGCCCTGTGACTGGCAGGAGCAGCCAGCCCATCAGTCCAACAGGAGCCTCACCTGCACCCTGGCATGGATGTGAATCAGGGATACTCATCAGGTAGCCACCAAACCCACCAGGTGAGACCAAGACCTTCCTGATCCTCTCCTCAGGGTGGAACTGACCCCCCAGGGGCCTGATTACTGAGTCCCTGACATCAGTTCTGAGCCCACCAGCTTTTGACAACTCTTGAAACCCCACAGAAACCACAGGGACCCTCAAAGCCAAAGCTTTCCTCTTGTGCTTTGAGCCACAAACTGATTCAATCCACTGTGAGCGCCCTGAGATCAGATCTCTCCTCCCCGAAAGGCCAGGTCCCTGCACGGCCAGCAAGCACTATTGGGGCAGCGCAAAAAGGGATCCGGGGCCTCCATGGGCCTGTCAGAGAGCAAGGCAGAAGAGGAAGCGAGCATAGACCGGCTAAGGCCCAGGCAGCCTTGCAGCCTCAGGAGACAGCCCTCCCAACACACAGGAGGCAGAGACGGAAGGGATCCGGGGCCTCCATGGGCCTGTCAGAGAGCAAGGCAGAAGAGGAAGCGAGCATAGACCGGCTGAGGCCCAGGCAGCCTTGCAGCCTCAGGAGACAGCCCTCCCAACACACAGGAGGCAGAGACGGGATGTTCTGCCAAGCAGGCAGCCGCAGCCCAGCAGGCTGGTTAGCAGAGTCCCTGTTTGCAGCAGGTTTTCTAGGAGGGCAGCCAGGACACCCATGTGGGGAGAAGGCAGCGCACGTCCTGCTGGGCCACCAGGCCCAGCTCCTAACACTCTCCTTACTGTGCCCTCCGCTCTGCCATCACTCCAAACCCTAGGCCTGAGGAGGAGCAGTGCTCTTGTCAAGCGTAAACAGACACCTGGCCCTCTGAGGGGCACAGGCAGGTAGGGACTGGGGAAATGAAGGATGTAAGTTCTACTCAAAGCCTTTTGTCACAAGAGGCAGGTCCCACAGGCCACGCCTCAGGCACGTGCTTGAAGCAGCAGCTGGGTGGGGGGCTGGTCAGGGTGGGAGGGGCCCCTGGCTTCCGCGGCTCTCTCTCCCCAGACTACCTCAGCAGCCCCCAACCCTGGAACATCTCAGCCGCTCCTGGAGCCAAGGGCAACATCTGTGACACACAGACACACTGTTTACCTGGAACACAGACTACAGGGGACATGATGATGAGAAAGAACAGACAGACAGTGAGCTGTTCACCAGGACCCCAACAACCCCCAGCTGGGTCTCTCTTGGCACGATGCCTCTTCCCTGACTTTTCCACAGGGCCCTGACTTTGCACTGCATCCCCAGAGCCAGTTTAAGTTGTTCCGAGAGGACAGTCTGAAAGTGTAAACTCTCCCTCATCTACTCCTCAGTGACCTATCACTTCAAGTCACCCTGGCTTTCTGGAAGGTGCAGGCTGGCGTGACTGCCCCTTCTCCCATCCTACTGCCTTGGCTGCAGCAGCGTGCCTGGCCTCCTGACAGGAAAACGGAATGAGGGGAAGGGGCCCAGCAAGTGGCTCTGCCCTGGTGGTGGCCCCTGTCACCCTGCCTCAGGAGAGATAACTGAGCATGTCTGTGACCACCTGCAAAGACATTATGTGACCCCTAGACTTTGCTGGGTAGAAGGAAGCGGCTCACTCTATGGGTGCCTTGCTTGGCACGTAGACATCTGCTTTCCGTCCTGTGCACCTACAGTCAGGGTTACCATGGAGACAAGCTCTGGAGGGGTCTGAAACTGCTAACCCTAAGGTAGATAACAGCAATTCAGGTCCCAGGCAGCCTTCTGGCTGTTGCTCAGATGGGCCAGGATGGGGGCTCACCTGGCCGCTTGACTGGCTTCTTGGTGGGTGTGTCTTTCCTCTTGTTGGGGATGGCAGGGGAGTAGGGAACCCCAGAGGAAGAACTGCTCTTCCGGAAATGCTCCTTCAGGCCCTTGATGGAGCGGTCCAGCTGGCTGGAGCGAATCTGGTAGTAGACATTCATGAAGTCTGAGAAGAGACAGAGAGGCAGAGGCGTGGCGGATAGGGGCCCTGGGCAGTAGTGGCCCGCTACGTTTACATGACAGGCCCTTTCCAGGACCTGCCACCCACGTGGCCTGGGCCCAAATCAAGCAAAGTCTTGAAAGAGAAAACCACTCCCCAATGGAACTGGCAATTAAAGTTTTAAATGGTAAATTAAAAAATATATATACATATATATAAAATTAACATCCAGATTTAACTTGGACAAAGAATGTGACCAATTTATAGGAGTCAAAAAGACAATAAACGTCAGAGAATGAAAAAACACATCATATCATCCACCATCAATATAAGGCAAATTTTTAAAAAATTAGAGGATGTGGTAGCCCTATCAAACAGCAAAAGTAAATAAAATTAATGAAGAACAAAAAGCCACAGAACTGTCGATGAGTCTGTTGATTGGCCCTATCTACCCAGCGAGGAGCAGGCGATGGCAAGGTTACAAATACGTCCAGACACTTATATGGAGTCCCTCCTTACCTGCTCCGTTCTCTGCGGCTTCAGTTACCCGGGGTCAACAAGAAGAGGGGTGAGTATAGCACAGTAAGATATATATATTTTTTTTTTTTGTCTTTTTTCGTGACCGGCTACAGATCGCAACCCTCAGTGTTGCGCCCGTACCGGACAGGACCGGCAATGGGATCGCAACCCTCGGTGTCCCCGCTCCTCGCTCAGCCAGTGAGCGGCCGGTCTGTATGTGGGATCCGAACCCTCGGTGGGAGCGCCGCCACGCTTCCCAAGCGGCGCACTGTAGCAGTGCGCCACCGGGCCGGCCCACACAGTAAGATATTTTGAAAGAGAGAGAGCACGCTCACTTAACTTTTACTACCGTATATTGTTAGAATTGTTCTTTTTTTTTTTGGGCCGGCCCGGTGGCGCACTGGAGAGTGCGCCGCCTGGGAAG